GACGCCATCGGGTCGGTCGTGCTGAGCTCGCTCGCCTTCATAAAGTGATCGCGGATCGTCATGGCGCTGTTGAGCTTGGTGATGACGCTCTCGTACTCGTGACTCCAGACGTGTCCAGGTAGCGTTGGACATGGAGACATGCGCTTTGGGCTCATTCCGTCCTCGAGGATTGTCGCCTTCACGGAGTTGTCGTATTTTTGCAGCAATTTTTGATCGGGAGGACTAAGCTCCTGTTGCATTAGAAATAGGGGCACAAGCTCCACTTCAACATAGTATCAATGCCACCATGCTCTTCTAACCCAAGCAGCTATTTGTAGAGAAATAAGATTTGCATTTCTTAGGCCATTTGCTGGACATGACAGCTGTCAAGCATCGACGTGCACCATACTACTACAATTTGTAGTAGTTGGTTAACCCTTGAAGTGGACGAGGTTTCCGGGCAAGGCCGAGCCGAGCGCGATCTAGAAGTCCGAGATCCAGAAACTCAGAGCATTTCCAAATGTACTTTCCGTCCAATCATGGCCAACCCACCACTGGCGCGGAAGACACCCCTTGCCCAAGTAGTGTGGTCTTGACTGAGGAAGAATGACAATAATGACATGATCAACATGTACATGCCCTCTCCGATAGCTTCTCCGATCTCCGAGAGGCACGCTGTATCCACCACTCCACTGCGCTGTATCCACCACTGCGCTGTATCCTTTCAAACCGAGCTCGTGACGTAACCAGCTTGGTCAGGTCAGATAACGCCATCTGCAACTCCTATAGATGACCCACTCGGCAACCAATGCGCCAGTGACTACCTTGAGAGCAGATCGTAAAGCTCTCAAGTCGAGTGACCGAGTGGCCGAGCGCCGGCCACGTCGTCGTTCCACCCAACGTCCAAGGCCAAGGAGGAGGTCGTCTCTTCCGTGAAAACCAGCTGCGAGCGTCGGCCCAATGACGAGCGGGCAAGCCTAGTGAGTAACATCCTCGTCATCCTCCAACTTGGCTCGCATTCGCCAAGTCGCCACGCATGGCCGACGTCCACAAGCGCGTGTCCAACGCGGACGAGCTCGACAAGGAGCAGGACGATGACGTCCTCCTCTCGGACCACACGCCGGCGGACGTCGAGGCCGCCCACGACCACGCGCCGCCCGCGCCGAGCCACAGCTACCGGCCCGACATTGACGGTCTCCGCACGCTTGCCGTGCTCCCCGTCCTCGTCTTCCACGCGTACCCCAAGCTCTTTCCCGGCGGCTTCATTGGCGTCGACATCTTCTTTGTCATTTCCGGCTTTCTCATTTCCGGCATCCTCTTCAAGGAGCACAAGCGCGGCAAGTTTACGTACGCGAGCTTCTACGAGCGCCGCGTCCGCCGCATCTTCCCGACGCTCATCATCGTGCTGAGCGCGACGCTCTGGCTCGGGTACCTCTACCTCATGGCGCCCAAGCTCAAGCTCATGGCCGCCACCATGTTTGCCGGGACGGTCTTTGCCGCCAACCTCCAAGTGCTCTCGCTCGAGAAGGCGTACTTTGATCTGGGTGCGAACCCAGTCTTGCACCTCTGGTCGCTCGGCGTCGAAGAGCAGTTCTACATCCTCTGGCCATTCTTCTGCGCCATCATCATGAAGCTCTCGTACAAGCGCGCGATCATCCTCCAAGTGGCGTTCATGGTGCTGAGCTTTGGCATCAACATTGCCTTCCTCGGCTACCGCGACAACAAGGTGTCGTTCTACATGCCGCTCTGCCGCTTCTGGCAAATGTCCATGGGCGGTCTCCTCGCATACGTCACGTCGCAGGCGGCGCCGGCGTTCGAACCATTGGCGGCGTCGGGCACGACACCGTCGAGCTCGGGCGGGTGGACGTCGGCAGCTGGCCTCAGCCTCATCCTCCTCGGCTTTGCCTCGATCAACGAACACCGCGCGTTTCCCGGCTTTTGGGCGCTGCTCCCGACGCTTGGTGCGACCTTGCTCATCGCGGCCGGTCCCCGTGCGCCGTTCAACCGCTACATCCTCAGCAACGCCGTTGTCGTCTACATTGGCAAGATCAGCTACTGCCTCTACCTCTGGCACTGGCCGATCCTCGTCATCTCGGGCGATCGGTACCCGGCGACGGCGCCGCGCCCGTTCTTTGCCGAGCCATGGGTCCTTCTCCTTATCTCGGTTGCCCTGAGCATCGCTACGTACGAAGACGTCGAGCTGCGTCTGCGCCGGCGCAAGGCCAAGTGGATCACGCCGGTGCTGGCGCTCGGTGTCGCACTCCTCGCACTCGTCTCGGCCGCAGTCTACACGTACCCGGCTAACTTTTCGCTGATTGAACTCGGGCTGCGCAACGTCGCCCCGCCGATCGTCGAGTCGGGTGCGAATCTCACGTCCGGCAACGTGCCTGCGTCGTTGAAGCAAGCGCAGACGGCTATCTACGACGGCGCGTGGCAAGGCGGCTTGGGCGACAAGTGCCCGTCCGACTCGCCGTACGTCTTTAACGCGATCCGCCCCGAGCACGCCGAGAAGTATGGCCCCTACTACCTCCCGGGTGACGTCTACCTCATCAACCCGGGCCATGAGAAGGACAACGGTCTCCTCATCGTGCTTGGCGACTCGCATGCCGACATGACCAAGCCGCGCCTCGTGCAGCTCTTTGAAGACGCCAAGGCCGCCAAGAACGAGTCGACATTTCCCACGATCGCCATCAACAGCTGGTCTGCCCGGCCGATCATGCCGTGCCGGGCCGAGTATTACGCCAACTTGGCCATGGTCAAGGCGATGAAGCCCCAGGTGCTTCTCCTCGTCCAGCACTACTACCAGTACGTGCACCCGACGGGCGATTTCAACACGCCGTACGAGGCGCCGCCCAAGTGCTGCAACGACGGGACCAAGCCGTGCCCCGAACAAACGATGCGCGACGTCAACGCCATGTGGTCGATCATGGAGAAAGACCTCAAGGAGCTCACCGACATGGGCATCAAGGTGTTTGTCGTCGACCAGAGCCCCGAGTACGAAGAGATGAACCCGTCGGCGTGGATCTCGGGCGACAAAGTGACGATGCCCAAGCCCATGTACAAGTCCGAGTTCAACCGCGAGTACAAGTGGCTCCTCGACCCGCTCCATGCAATGGTCAAGAACGCTGGCGCGACGCTCATCGACTACGCCGACAACTACTCGCTCGGCGACGAAATCATGATCACCGACGACCACGGGTACCCGGTCATGTGCTACGGGACGCACCTCAACGCGCACACGGCCCGCAGCTACCTCACCGTCGTCGACCAAGTCGTAGACGCCGCCCGTCTCCAAAAGTAAATTGAGCTTGCGAGTACAACACGCCACCAATATAGAGTCGTTTATGTATCTACGACGTCATTGCCGCTAGTACTAGAAGCGCCGTCGTCTTTGACACACCTATGGCAACGACTTCTTCGGGTTGCATCCGGATGCAGATGAGCTGGCAGCCTGTGGGCAGTGCCATATCCGGATAACCAGAAAGGACGTCCGCTGGAGTCGACTGGAGTCACACCTCGACTTTTAGAGCACGAAAGATGACGAATATATCGGCAACCCTAGTCGCACGCATGAACGTATCAATTCGATTCCGGTGTCCAAGGTGCCAAGCACCAACGGCCAGTGTTGTGCCCCACGCTTCCCTTGCACGTCGATCTGGTCGCTGCGCTGTCGTGGCAAGGACTGGGTTGAACCACTCGTTGAATGAGCCCAGCGCAGAGAAGGTGTGACCACAAGCCTACACGACCGTTCAAACATTGGGCCAAAGTCAATGGTCGTGCAGTTTTGGTGGACTTTGTGCACTAAATCAAAACGACAGACATAGTGTACACTCATTGAGCGGAGAGAACTCGACCTACGCCTGCCCAGAAACGTGAAGTCGCGGGCGTCACAGCACGAAATTCCACAGGAAGCGCAAAAAGGATAAAATTGGGTTTCGATCGCGATGACAATATTGGTGCATGTTGCGAGAGCGTCTTGAAGGAGGGCTTTGCCACGGAGCGGGCTGCGCCGCAGAGACAACGTCGCGAGATGGGGGCGTGAGTACCGCGAATAGCACTCGCCAGGACTGACATTTCGCAATCGGGACCGAAATCGGGACCTCCTGCACCCCAAGCAGGAATCATACCACTAGACCACAGGGCCTTCCTTGACATTTCGCAATTACCAAACGACGCGTCAAAGTCGGTTTTACGGGCGACAGCTTCCATACACTGACGGAGCCATTTGGTGCGGTCACGTGAGCCACGTGAGACACTCGAGGTGGGTCGAGCGCAAGGCTCACTCATGAAGCGGGCAGCGACACTCGACGTGAATGGGATACGCGAGAGCTGGACGCTCCGGAAGCGCAACAACGACACCGGTTGCACGGAGAGCGCTTTGTCCAGGCGAACGTTGGATAGGTAGAGCTCATCCAGAGCCGATAGGGAGGGCAAAACGGCAGTAGCCAGCATATCTCCGTGCCATGCGGTGGCCGCCAGTGCATCTCCGTGACATCAGCAAGTGTGCCACGCACTCGCAGCGTTGTGAGCTTGGACTTGTCGGCGTAGAAGTCCAACGCGCACGTTGCACGAGCTCCGACGTCCCAACTAGCAGCCTTGATGGCTTCTGCAAGAATGGGTTCAAGTCTACGCACCCTTGGGTTCGGAAGACAGTTCACCGTTGGAGCCAACTTAGTGCATGAATCAACAAACGCAAGTCGAGTAGGTCGAGAGAGTTGGGA